TTTTTTTTTTTTTGTTATTTTCATATGTTAATTTTATATGTATGCTCTCTCACACACCTCACTTGCATATCATTTTGTCCTTGATGAGGTGAACCTGACCTCTTACTAGATCGATAACTCATAGAATGATGCAAAGCACAATGCTTTCCTTGTGAACCTTGTGAAGTGGGATTATCTCTTTTAGGTTTATTTTGTGAGTTAATATGGCTTGCCAGCCATAATGCTACTGCTATATTAGGTCATGAAATGCCTCTTATTAACTTTATAGAGTTTGGCAATTGTTGACTTTATGGAAGTCAATAGTTGTTGACTTTATGGAAGTCAGAAAGAGCCTAATCAATGGCACTGGTTGTCCTTATGCTCACTTGACAATGTATTGTAGGAAGATGGCTCCTTATGTCGATGATAAGAAGCTAATGATATATTATTTTTAGGATAGTTTAATAGATCCTACAGATGCTTGGTTCTCAACTTTAGATAAAAGTAAAGTTAAGAGTTGGCATGATTTGACTAACAATTTCCTGAAGCAATATAATTACAATACATCATTAGCTCCTAGTAAAGAATAATCCTTTCCAAACTCCAACTTATCAGCTGTCACTTTTACAAGTCAACCAAGGCCACTTTATGCCTTTGGGATCAATTGTCCACAACAAAAAAGTGAGACAGCATTTCGACAAGCTTCCTTTGTCATATACTAAAGTGTTTTGGTAATTGGTAATAGCTAGTCTTGTTACTCCTATACTATAGTGCTAGTAAAACCACCATTTCCAACGTAGTACAACCCATAGGCAAGATGTGAATACCATAGTGGAGGTATTGAGCATGACCTTGAAAATTGTTTGGCTTTAAGGCACCGTGTTCAAGATCTAATAGATGCAAAAGAGTTACAGATTGCATCAGAACCTAAGGTTGTTGCTCCGAATATCAATAAAAACCCTTTACCAACACATGATGGTCCAACAGTTAATATGATTAAGAAAGACTTTGATAAAGGTCAAAAGGTGACTACAGTTAGCATTACCAATCAAGTGTTATCAACTCCTTGTCAACCTTTGATATTGAAAGGGCCAAGTATTGCAACTACTGTGAAGAAACCATTCAATTTGAGAGGAAGCAAGTAAGCATCATCTTTCCAACAGCCACCTTGAACTCTTTATCCACCTTCAAAGTCGTCCTTCAAATCCTATAAGGTTGTTCCTTGAAATTATAAGACTAGCACTTATGTCTCCATACAAGAATTCCCTATTGAAGATATCTCTCTTATGACTCAAAGTGAGCACAATTATGGAAGTGTGGAGAGGCAATGTAAAGAAAAGGAGTCACAAAAGGGAATCGTTATTAAGGAAATTCATGAGGAGCAAGTCAAGAAGTCTATTTCAGAGTAGGAAAATAAATGATTTTCTTAACATTTTGAAGAGAAGTGAGTACAGTGTGGTGAAGCAACTTAATTGAACTCCTGCTAAGGTCTCTATTTTACAACTCTTGTTGGCATCAGAGACCCACCAAAATGCTTTGCTGAAGATTTTGAATGAGGCTCATGTGTTAAGGGATATTGATATTAAGAAATTTGGCAATGTGATAAGGACTATCCTTGCACCAAACTTTATCAACTTTACTAATGATGAGATCTTTGAAGATGGAAGAGGACACGTGGAGACTCTTCACATTTCAGTTCTTTGTAAAGACATGCATGTCCCATGAGTGCTTATTGATAGCACAAGGAAGGAGTTAGATGGAGAGATTGAATTACCCGTTAACATTGGCCCATATACATTTGACATAACTTTTCAAGTTATGAATATTGAGCCTGCATTTAATATGTTGCTTGGAAAGCCTTGGATTCATATGGTTGGTGCAATACCTTTTACTTTGCATTAGAAGCTGAAATAAATTGTGGGAAATTCTTTGGTTACAGCGAATGGTGAAAAGGATTATGCCATCCATAAGGCTACATTTGTGCCATGTGTAGAAATAGATTCTCAGAGCCAAGAAGCAACTTACCACTCTATGGAGTTTGTCTGAACCACATATGTTGCAGAAGGCTCAATTTTGAGAACACCAAATCTATCTAGAGTAAGTAAGGGAGTTGCCAAGGTGATGCTAGAAAATCATTTTGAAGTTAGAAAAGGCTTAGGAATTGGACTGCAAGAAATTGAGGAATCGATTGAGGTGATTGATACATCAATAGGGTTCAATTTGGGTTACAAACCTACTCGAAAAGATTGGTTATGGATGAGGACAAGGAAAGCTGAAAGGCATCGAACTAAGTTAGAAAGAAGAGAACTTGTTGACTTGTTAAAAGAGTTTCAAGATGTGTTTGCTTGGTCTTACGAAGATATGCTTAGGTTAGATTCAAAGCTAGTAGTTCATGCTATTCAGCTAAAGCCAGAATGTCCACTTGTGAAGCAAAAGTTAAGAAAAATGAAGCCAGAAACTTTGTTGAAAATCAAAAAGGAAGTAAAGAAGCTGCTAGATGTAGGGTTCATGAAGTAGCTATGTATCCTCAATGGGTTGCTAACATTGTGCTTGTGCTGAAGAAAGATGGAAAAGTCAAAATGTGAGTGGATTCTAGAGATTTGAACAAAGCAAGCCCAAAGGATGACTTTCCTTTACCACATATTCCGTTATTGGTTGACAATGCTACTAAAAGTGTTAAATTCTTGTTTGTTGATGGTTATTTTGGCTACAATCAAATCAAGATGAAGGAGGAAGACAAGATCAAAACCACGTTTATCACTTTGTAAGGCACCTTTTGCTACAAGGTAATGCCATTTGGATTGAAAAATGTGAGGGCAACTTATCAAAGAGCAATGATTACTTTGTTGCATGACCTCATTCACAAAATCATTGAGGTTTATGTAGATGACATGATAATAAGGTCTAGAGAAAATAAAGATCATTTGGTGAATCTTAAAATCGTGTTTGAAAGATTAAGGAAGCAGCAACTAAGGCTTAATCCAGAAAAATGCACTTTTGGGGTAACATTTAGCAAGCTCCTAAGGTTTATTGTTAGTAGAAGAGGAATCGAGATAGACCCTACTAAGATCAAAGCTATTGAAAAGATGCCTCCACCAAAAACATAGATAGAGGTGCACAACTTCTTGGGTAGGTATTCATCTCTAGAAAAGACATGCTGTGCATTGGCTTCGATTGCTAATAAGCTTTGTCATTGTATGCTTTCCAATACTACATGACTAATATCTCGAATGGATCCTATCAAATATATATTTGAGACGCCTTCTTTGTCTAGAAGAATTGCTCGATGGCATATGTTGTTATCAGATTTTGAGATTATTTACATGACTCAAAAGGCAATAAAAGGTCAAGTCATTGCAAACCATCTTGCAGAAAACACAGTTGAAGATTATCAGCTAGTTGATTGGGAGTTTCTTGATGAGGATATAATGGCAATTGAAGAAAGCAATTGTGAAACTTCTAATTGGAAGATGCATTTTGATGGAGTTGTAAACCAAAACGGAAGTGGAGTGGGGGTAGTTCTTGTCTCACCTAAAGGAGAACATTTTCCATTTGAAGTGAAGCTTGATTTTTCCTACACCAATAACATCACTGAATATGAGGCTTGTATCTTGGGTCTACAAGTAGCTGGTGATATGAATATTAGGGATCTTGAAGTTTGTGGAGATTCTTCCCTAATCATATTTCAAATCAAAGGAAAATGGAAGACAAAAGACATGAAGTTACTGCATTATTACTAGTACCTTGATTCTCAAACTAAGAAGTTCAAATTTATCTCTTTTGAGTACATGCCTCGATCGAAGAATCAATTTGCAAATGCCTTATCAACTTTGGCTTCCATGGTGCAAATATCAGATAAAGATCAAATTCAACCACTCATGATAGATGTGCATAAGAACCCTGCTTATTACATGGAGATTAGGCAAGAAATAGATGGCCAACCTTGGTACTATGACATCAAACAATACATCTTGCATAAGAAATATCCAATTCATGCTACTAACATCTCTACAAATAATCGAACTGAACACAAAGTCCTCGATCCTTTTCGAGGTCAAACTGGGGAAAGGTCAAGCTTCCACCCATTTAGTAAAGTAGTTAATAGCAACGACCAGGTGTGTCACACCTCTTACCCTTTTGACAAAAAGGCCCCAATAGATCTATGCCCCATTAGGCGAAAGGCCATGGTGCAACCAGATTCATGAGCTCCTCTGTCAGCTGATAAGTGAGATGTGCGAAAAATTGGCACTTCTAGCACCTCTGCACAAATTGTTTTGCATCTTCTTACATGTTAGGCTAATAATATCTTTGCCAAAGTACCTTGTGGGTTAGGGTTTGAGCTCCCACATGACTTCCACAAACACCTCTGCAACCTGTCCAGTTAAATGCTACACATCCTTGACTGACCTTGAAGGCTCCATCTCCTCAATTGCCTTAATCTTTTTGAGGTTCACCTCTATTCCCCTCTGTGAGACCATGAACCCTAGGAATTTGCCACACTCAACACTTAACACACACTTCATCGAATTTAAACTCATGTTGTGCTTCGTCAAGTTGTCAAATGTCTCGGCGAGGTCAATCAGATGATCTTCTGCCTTGAGACTCTTGACCATTATGTCATCTACATGGACTTCCAAATTCCAATTAGTTTGAGCTCAGAATACAATTGTTACCATCTTATGATACGTAGCTCTTGTATTTTTGAGCCCGAAAGGCATCATGATATAACAGTAGATCTCATCCCATGCATAAAAGAAGGTCTTCACCTCATCCTCGAGTGCCATATGGACTTGATGATACCTCGAGTAAGCATCGAAGAGACTTAACCTTTCATTTCCAAATGTAGCTTCTATTAGCTTGTCTACACTTGGCATAGGGTAGCAATCTTTTGGGTCAGGTGATCTTCTACCTCAAGGCTCTTGATCACTTTGTCATCCACATAAACTTCCAAATTCCTACCAATCTGAGCTCAAAATACAATTGTTACCATCTTCTGGTACATAGCTTCTGCATTTTGAGTCCGAAAGACATCATGATATAGCAATAGATCTCATTCCCTACATAAAATGAAGTCTTCATCTCACCCTCGGGTGCTATGCCGACTTGATGATACCCTAAGTAAGCATCCAAGAGACTCAACCTTTCATTTCTAGAGGCAGTTTCTACTAGCTTGTTTACACTCGGCATAGGGTAGCAATCCTTTATGCAGGCATCATTGAGGTTGGTGCAATCAATACACATCCTCCACTTGACATTTGACTTCTTCACCAAAGCCAGATTGGCAATCCATTGACAGGAATTTGCTGGACTCAACACCGAACACACACTTCGCCAAATTTAACCTCATGCTGTGTTTTCTCAAGTTGTCGAATGTCTTGACCTGGTCAATCAGATGATCTTCTACCTTAAGGCTCTTAACCACTATACCATCTATATAGACTTCCAAATTCCTACCAATCTGAGCTTGCAATACAATTGTTACCATCTTCTGGTATGTAACTCTTGCATTTTTTAGCCTGAAAGACATCATAATATAGCACTAGATCTTATTCCCTATATATAAGGAGGTCTTCACCTCACCCTCAGGTGCCATGTGGACTTGATGATACCCTGAGTAAGCATCCAAGATACTCAACCTTTCATTTCTAGATGCAGCTTCTACTAGATTGTTTACACTCGGCATAGGGTAGCAATCCTTTGAGCAAGCATCATTGAGGTTGGTGTAGTCAATGCACATCCTCCACTTGCCATTTGACTTCTTTACCAAAATCAAATTGGCAATCCATTCGTGGTAATCAACTCGCCTCACAAATCCTGCTTGTCAAAGCTTTTGCACTTCTTCCTTGATGACCTGAAGCCTTTCTCCCCCAAAGAGGCACCTCTTCTAAGCTATTGGTTTCTTCAGAGGATTAGTGCTCAACTTATGAACAGTTGTCGAGGTTGGGATTCTAAGCATATCCATCGAAGTCCATGCAAAGACATCTTTATTTGCCTTCAGGAAGTCTATGAGTTCTGTTCTGTCCTTTGGACTCAACTTTGTCCCAATCTATGTTTTCTTAGTGGGGTCCCCATCATCATTCTAGACCTTTTCCACCTCTTCAGCCGGAGTAGCTTTAGCTTCATATTTAGGTCAACTGTCTAAAAGTTCGACTCCCATTACATGATTGCTTGGGGCCTTAAATGGAATTGGTTTTGATGGCTAAGTGACCTCCTTGTCCTTTTGAGGTCGGGTGCTAGAGGTCATGCAATAGTGCTTAGCTATCTCCTAGTTACCCCTCAGAATTGCCACCCCCATTGGTATGGGAAATTTCATAAATAGGTGGGATTGTAAGACGACAGCCTGGATTTTGGTCAGCATAGGTCTCCCAATGACGATGTTAAAATATGACACCATCTTCACAACTAAAAATCGAACAGAATGGGCCACATATGTCTGACCTGAACCGAAGGTTATGTTGAGCCTTAACACTCCCTCAACGAGGATTGGTTGATTATTGAACCCGTAAATAAGGCCATCATACTTCTATAAGAGAGATGGATCGATGCCGAGGCTCTCAAAACAGTGATAATACATGATATTAAGGGCACTTCTGGTGTCAACAAGGACACGCTGAACTTCATAATTGTTGATGATGATCGAGGTGACTAGGGGGTCATTGTGTGGCATGACAACACCATCTAGGTTAGCTGAAGTGAATGTAATAGGTTGGTTCTTCCACTCCTCATCATCAAATTTCCTCTTTTGAGCTTAGTTCTGATGCTTAACTTTCCTTGCATACAGCTTTTGCTATTTAAAGCTCATCCCTCCCGCTTTTAGCCCACCATTTATCATGTGGATGAGTCACGATGATGGAAGGAGTGAGGGTGGGGCTTGTAGGTAGCCAACCCTAGTTTTATTACTTGCATCTCAAGGTCCTTGGGACTGTTGTCCCTGTTCTCGTACAAACTTGAGATGATCCTTATTTAAGATGTACTCGTTCAGCATCCCTTTACAAGCTAAGCCTTCAAGCTCAAACTTCAAACTATTACATTCTTTAGTGGTGTGGCTATAATCCTGATGGAAGTCACAATACTTACTGTAATCTTTGAAGGCAAGTAAACTTTGCATAGGTGGAGGCCTTCGAAGCTCTATCTTGTTTTTTATCTGCATTAAAATTTGTGACCTCGGCAATGTGAATGGGGTCCACATGATTTACTTCACTGCGGTTTATGGGGTGCTTGGATTGGGCTTGTCAACTTTAGGGATAAGGAGTGGACCTCGGTTCTGCGCAATCTTGAACTTCTTGTTCTGCCTGATGAGTTTAATTTTTATACATTTATCTACCCTTCTTTTTAACTTGGAAATTAATTTTATAGGTATTTTATAACTTAGTCTCACCTAAATTTATATTAATCTCATTGTTTTGTAGGTGATGATTAAATAGGAATTAATTTTTCAACAAATGGCAATTTTGCACATGCTATAGTAATTCTACCATAGCGTTTATCTCCAGTTGTTAGATTCAGGTGATTCTTAAGGCGTTGGAAAACTAAGAAGCAGAGCTGCAATTTATCTTTTACAAGCTCAACCCAGTTCAATCAGTTTCAAGATAGAATTCTAGTTGGAATGCATAGTTTTGACAAAAGGCTAGGTACATTGCGAGAAAATTAAAAGAGAGAGAGAGAGAGAGAGAGAGAGAGAGAGAGAGAGAGAGAGAGAGAATTAAGCTATCTTTTAGGTTGTGGGCTAGCAATATACCAAGCCCAAAAGGTTTAAAAGCCCTAGTAGAATATAGGCCAAGAAGAAAAAAGGAAACTATTGGGTATATTATCTATGTACGTGGTCTGTGCACGGAAGGGGGGTCATCTTTGTTTGTAGTTTCTATTTGTTGTCTTCCCCAACTCTATTTTCCTTCTCTTCTTCGATCCTACTTCTCAAAGATCTACACAAGAAAGACATTGCGCAGCCTCTATTTCTTTCGCCAGCGTGGTTTAGGAAATCTGCATAGCAACTGTGTTCTTCATTGGGACTAGTTTTCATCATTCTTAATTTGACTTTTACAATGATTCTTCGTTGGTTTTTCTTAATTATGGCTACCCAGAACTTATCTATGTGTAGCTAAATTCCTTGAACTAGGGTTCCCAGTCATAGTTTCTTTTACTTGGAAAATTCCTTTAGTTTAAGTAGTTTTATTTTAAACAGTTTAGCTTTGTTCCATTAATTAGTTAATTCAACTTGGGTTAGATTAATATCATCTTGGTAGTGTAAAATAGTCCTCAAGGGAACAATATCTTACTCATCTTATACTGCATAATTGATTAGGTTCAATTGCCTAAGAGTAGTGTGTATTTGGTACATCACGACCCTTTCTCCCTCCATGTGGGACTTTTGATTTCTTTACCAAGCGCAAGCTTATGGGATAAAGCATTCTCTTCAATTGTGATGAACTTACGAGATCTCTCATTGACCTCATTAAAGGTGGTAGGTGGATGCTTAATCAAATTATCTCGGAATCACTCATGGTTGAGACCTTGGATTATGGTATAGCTATTCCTATGACTTGGTCAAATGAATTGATTTCTAACACGGCATCATTGAACCTATTCATGTAGTTCTTTAGGGACTCACCTTCCCTTTGGATTACTTGTATGAGCTCGAGTGTTGTCTTTTTTATCAACCTTTGACTTGAGAATTTGGTGGCAAAAGATGTTGCTAGCTCAGCATATGAACTGATTGAGTTTGACCATAGACTGTAGTACCAAGTTCGAGCATTGCCACGCAACGTAGAGGGAAACATCTTGCACATTAGAGCATCCGAGGTATTTTGAGCCCGCATAACGAAATAGAACGCATGCAAGTGGTCATCAGGATCTTTTGGTCCCATCATATGTTTCGAACTGGGGCATTTTGAATCCAAATGGATATGGTTCTTGGATGATGTTGGTGTTAAAGGGAGTAGGGATCGAGGTTGAGCTAGGCTGAGTCTGTGGTTGTGCATTTCGGTTCTCAGCTATCATCTTTTCTAGGTTATCTAGCCTCTTGAAGACATCTTAAGCAATTGGTTGAGGTGGGTTATGAGGTGGAGGTGCCATGTAGGATTGGCCCCTCACAACAGCACTTCAGACTCGAGAGTTGGCACTCTGTTGGGGTTGATTGCTGATTGCCTAGTTGGCTGGGTTCAACAAGTTGATGAGGGGCTCACCGGGGTTATCCCTAGCCAATAACTGTGTGAGTACAAGCTAGAATACACCGAACTGTTGTTGCATGACATTAAGTTGGGCGGCCATGGCATCATTTGGGGTTACAGTTGGGTGTTGTGGATTATTCTTTCTTACTCCTTCTACATGCTGATGTTGGACAATAGGTGACACAATCTGAGGCATGGGGTTACCACTAGAGAATTGACCTCTTCCTCAACCTTGTTGAGGACTCCATGCTGAGTTGAACGTGTATTAACCATCTTAAAACGGTCGTTGATGAGGCTTTTAGCTCAATTTCCCTCAGATGGTGCCAAATGTAGTTGCAAAGAACTTCAAATCCTTCTTCGACTCAAGTCTTCTCTTTAGTTAACCTACAAAGCCCTGAGGTTGGTCCTCAAAGTAGACACTTCGATGCCTAAATTAGCCATAATCACATCTACTAGAAAAAAGGCAAAGCAAAAGCTTGAGATCGGTTTTGGTTACCTTTGAGGGAGGACCCTTGGGGGGTTTTTATAGCCTTCAAAGGGGTATCCACACTTTCATCCTTGTGGAAAACCAAAATCATATATGTTAATTATTGTAGAAATCTCTCATAGGAAATCTAAGTATGTATGGAGCTACTGTGGAGCAAACTCAAAGGGGATGAGCTCAACCATGACTGAGCTCATCACACTTAGCTTCAAGTAATCTCCTCGAGGTCGTACATTCGTAATAACTTAGCTCACCCGATGTAAGTGACCTCAAACCACCATCACACATTATACCATCCGCGAGTTGGTGGAGGGCCCCTTCCTTTAGTCCATATAAGAAAGCCATCGTTTGCGCAACTCAATTATACATACTTTGAGTTGAATTTTACGTAGAGAGTTGTAGATGACATAAGTTATTTGAAGAAAAGGAGTTTTAATGACAAAATTTTGTGAAATTTTGAAATAATCATTATAATTAATAATAATTGTAATACATTTTAAATATCCATCACATATAATCACTAATTCTATTAGCAATAACTAAAAGTAAGAGTTAGTTAACCTCTAATTTAATTCTTCAACTATTTTATAAATTTTTAAATTGATATTTAAATGAAAAACTTTTCTTATTTAATGCTTAAAATTTAATTTAATTTTTTAATCCTTTTAATTCTTTATGACCTAACACGTTAAATCACAGTTCACCGATCTTTATTTCATGTGTAAAAAATAAAAAATTCAAACAATAAAAATGATGACATGGACAATAAATATAACATAAAACTAAATAATTAATTTTATTTATTCAATCATATTAAAATTACAAATTTACCTCCATTTCTTCCTCTCGCATCATCTTTAATTAGATCGTTTGGTACTCGATTGCCCCGAATCAACCCACCAAAGCCTAGAATTCTTTCAATTGAACTAAGCCTATGTTTGGATATAAATTGGTAAAGGAAAGGAAGGGAAAGGGAGGGGAAGGAAAGGGAAAGGAAGAAAAATATTAATATTAATTTTGTTTGGATATATGAAAGAAAAATAAAGGAAATGATAATATATTTATTTAATTAAATAATTTAATAAAAATAAAATAAAATATTTAAAATTTATTAATTAAATAAATAATTAAAATAAAATATTTATATATAATTATTTTATAAAAATTTTAAAATAAAAATAAATTAAATAATAAAATCCCTCCTAATCCTTTTCAATCTTTCCAAATAAGAGGAATTAAAAATAGAAGAGGGGAGAAGGTTCTATCTCCCTTCATCTCCCTCCCCTCCATTAATTTTTTTTTTTTTTTCCAAACAATAAGAGGGGCTTTTACAGTTTTACCTCCTCACTCTCCTACTTTCCCCTCCAAGTTCCTCAATCCAAATGAAGTTAAAAAGCAAAATCGAAGCCAAATTTAGATTTTTCCTCTCCCTCTATTTCGCTCACCATTTTAGATTCTCCAAGCTAGCTCGTCTCTTCTCCTAGCCCAACTTCTTCCAGTAGATTCTTCCTCTTATGCGTCCACTGCAACCCAGATGTAGTAGACGACATCGGTTTTTTGCACCTCCACCATTGTCTTCCTCTGCTGCAATGTAGCCATTGAGGCCATGATAGATGACATCTGCAAGAAAACCGAATACTTTTTTATCTTTGCTCCAAAACTTTGTGCAGCAACCCGCGTTCCCAAATCTGGGTTTCTTACTCCTATTCGCACGCCCAGATTTGGGTTCCATCAAGTTGTTTCCCAAACTAGTTTGTTGGCGCAATCCAAGTTCGATGGGAGTAAATTTTGATTTAGCAAGAGAGAAAGAGATGGATAATTGGGGGCAATTTGAGGTTAAGGGGTTAGGGTTTGCAAAAGGTGAAGGAAAGGAAGAGGAGGGAAAATAGAGCCCTCAATTCAACTAAACCTCACTGGAGTTACAATTTCGAGCTTGATTGGCAATGGCTATAACATTCAATCTCCGTCGAAAACAGACAGGTAATTCTTGGTTAGATTTCTCCTTCAATTTATTGAATAAACGCATTGAACCGAGCAAAGAAGACCCATGATCTTTGATTTGCAAGATTCCAATGTAAGAATCTCTTGTGGGTTTAATCTTGGCTGTGTTTGATGTGTGATCTATTGTTCATAAAATCAAGTAGAAACCCCTTTTTTCTTCCTTTGATTTCATATATGCTAACTATATTTGATCCTTGTTCTTAGGTTATCAATTTGAATGAAATTCGGCTCTGATTTTGTATGATCAATATCTGAATGTGTAATTGCACCAAACCAGAAGTCCCTTCTCAATCTACATCTTCACTTCGGATGTACCTGCAAAGCCCCGAGGTTGAACTCGGGGTAGACACTCCGATGCTTAAGTCAGCAATAATCGAGGCTACCTTTAGGGCGGAGATAAAAAGAGCTTAGGGTTGGTTTCAATTACCTTTCTGAGGTGGCCCTTGAGGGGTATTTATATGTTCCAATGGAGAAC